TAAAAACGGTCGAAAAAGAAAAGTGAAGCAAGTATTTAAAAACGAAGGGAGAATTAGAGTACTACGTATTTATATTTCAAGATTGATGTATGTTGTAAGGTTGAAACTTATTTTGGATTAGTGCACCTAAGTAACAAAGTACTAAAGTAATTATGAGTATTCTTTTTTTCTATCAAGTCTTGTATTTCATTCACAGGTATGCAGGGTGCATTCCTAAGGCCCTGTTCTATTAAGCTTCTGGGCAAAGAAGAGCAGAGCAGAGTTGATTTCAGCATCATTAAAATTATTATTATTATTATTATTATTATTATTATTATTATTATTATTATTATTATTATTGTTGTTGTTGTTTAGGGTAAAAACACCCCCGGTCCACGTGGACCAATAGCATGTTGACACGTGTCAGCCTCAGAGAGGTTCTGAAAGAACTAATCCTCAGACGACACGTGACAGTCCAAGTCATGAAAGGGGAGTTGATCCTCAAACCCTATAAATAGGGAGAGGTCTCCATTTATTGCACATTCAGAAATATCCACCCAAAACAGAGCAATATTAATTGCAAATACTCTCTTTCTCGGAATCCGAGAAAAACTCTTTATATTCCGCACTTTTTACATCCGAGCACGTTCTAACTTGATTGTCGGAGACGAAACTCTACCCAACCGGAGTTCCCGTGGTTTTGCAGATACAGATGGCCAGCATCCATTCTTCGAATTGTAACTCTCCCGAGGGACTCCAAAAACCCTAAAACAATTATTATTATTATTATTATTATTATTATTATTATTATTAAATATTAATTATTATTTATAATAATAATAATTATTATTAAATATTAATTATTATTATTAATAATAATAATTATTATTAAATATTTATTATTATTATCTTTAAATATTAGTAATTATTATTTAATACTAATTATTATTATTATTACTATTTTTTCGGGGTTTTTTAGATGTTCTACGGGAGTGTTACAACACCAAAACTGGCCTCCGAACGCCTGTACCTGCAAAACAACGGAGTCTCCAGTTGGGTGGAGTTCCGCTTCTGACGATCAAGTTAGAACGTGTTCGGAAGATGTAAAGTGCGGAAGAGTAAAGTCTCTCTCAGATTCCAAGAGAGTATCTGCAATTAATAATTGCTCAGTATTTTGTGTATATTTCTCAATCTGTGTTTCTGACGAGGAAACATCTCCCTTTTATAGGGTCTCGAGGTGCGTGCCCAGTCCTAGGTCATGTAAACCTAGGATGGACTGGGCTTCCTTGGAATTTGGGCCTTCTAAGGCTACCATTCCAAGTTGGCAATCTGTCTGTCACATGTCGTGCTCTGATTGGTCCACTTGGGACTTTTCAAGTGACACGTGGTAGACTCTGGTTGGTCCACGTGAAAAGACACGTGGTAGGGTTTCATTGGTCCACATGGCGGGGTTACATCCCCTAATCAACTATTATTAAATATTAATTATTATTACTATCTTTAAATTATTATTATTATTATTATTATTATTATTATTATTATTATTACCACATCATCCTTATCATCATCATCATCATCATCATCATCATTATTATTATTATTATTATTGCTTATTATTATTATTATTATTGTGATTAAATATTAATTAATAATAACAATTATTATGATTATGATAATTATTAAATATTAATTATTATTATTATTATTGTGAAATATTAAATATTATTATTATTATCTTTAACTATTAGTTATTATTAATTATTATTATTATTACTATTATTAAATATTAATTATTATTACCATCTTTAAATATTAATTATTAGCTTAGTGTTGTTGATGCTCCTCGCCAAAACCTATGGGAGCAGGTTAGCCTGGGAATGTCGGGTAGGTGCGGGTTGCTTGGATTAAAACTACCATAACTTCTATTGTAGGAGGATTTAGGGATGGCAATTGGGTAGTGCGGGTGCGGGTACCCCCTTTCCCATACTTGCACCCGCCAAATTTATTTATACTCGCCACCTACCCGCTACCTGTGGCAGGTAAAATTTTAATACCCACACTCGCCTAAGCGGGTAGAAACCTAGATCCACCACACCCATGTGGATATTCACCACCCGCTTTTTACTCGCCAACCTAACAACATTTGTTTCATAAATTTTCCATAAATATGTCATTTTTCCATACCTATATATTTTAATAGCATATTATACAGGGTAGTAATCAATTTGTGATAAAAAAATAAAAGTAGTAATAAATTGACGGGTAACTGGGCGGGTAAATGGGCGGGTAGACGGGTAATAGGCGAGTATGGCATCAAATCCACCACTACCTACCCGCTACCCACAGTGGGTATGACTTTCATATGTACCCATACCCGCCTACTTACCCGCCAAAGTTAGACCCATACCCGCTCCAACTGGGGCGGGTGCTGTGTGGTACCCGCATTTTAATACCTGCCATCCCTAGGAGGATTTTTTGGGCGTGTGATCTACCATTGGAAAGATTTTCAAGTCTAGTTTCCAATGCAACTTAAATCACTTCAATCCGATAAGTGAACTCAAGTTATGATCAAAAGAGTGGACAAGAGTCAATTTTACCACTTTGTAAGTTATCGTTTAACTTCGTTTCTAACACAACTAGTTGTTGGTGCAATGCGTACGCCCTTCCAACGCTAGGATATGTATATTGGAGCAAGTTTTCGTGTGTTGTTATTTTTAGAGGTATGAATATGAACATAAATTAATACTTGTAGATTATATTGTATGTCTTAAGATAAGAATATATAATGTAGATTAGTGGTGTACTTTGAGTGTTTGTATATTAGTTTTTTCTCCTTGAGATTGTTACTTGTTCCAGTATAGATGGAGCATAGAGTGAGCTAGTTATTTAGTTTAGTATATCTTATATGAATTTGGGTGTTGCCTCTTAATTGGTCTTTTAATATCATTTTTAAAAAATTACTTAATCTAGTAGTTAAAACTAATGAAAATTTGAAATGCAACAGGTACACAACTTGTAATTTGAATATTTTTATGCTTTTGTTTCAAAATGTAGGAGTACACATGTATTATCGATTATACTATTGAAAAGAACTAAAAGCTGTAGATTATATGATTCCAGATCAAAAGAGCAAGGTAATTCAAGTACAGCATACAGACATTTTCCTTTACGTCATATTGATTATAGACTATATGCAGCTTTACCATTGAACGCGGTAATAGATACATTGCAGATGCTAGAAAATGCGTAGCTAACTTACATTCCAACGTCTAAAAAAACACGGTAAGAAGGGGGAAAAAAACAAAAAAAGCTTTATACCCATGATTCTGCATGGCATAGATAACTGGTGCAGCCGGCATTCGAACCTTGTTATTGTAAGCTTATGTTGATTGAACCGAGAAACTATACAATGCTAAATGCTCAAGAATAAGAAGGTGAAGTCCATCAATTATACAGTTAACAGTATGCACGCTTATAATAGATAAATGTTTACCTAATAACCAGTAGCTAAGATTGCTTTGTCCAACTTGTTCAATAATGCCGGCTAGTTTCAACACTTCATAAGAGACGATGTTCATGACAATAGTATGTGGGTATTGTTGTGGAGGCCTAGCTGAAAAAACTTGAACATCCTGTGCAATTTTTGCACGTGATAAAGCAACGTACAATTGACCATGAGAAAAACAAGATTTTGGTAGATGAATTGACACTTGACTAAGAGCCTGCCCCTGAGATTTGTTTATATTCATTGCAAAACTCAATTTGATAGGGAACTGTTTCCTTTCAAACTGAAATGGATAGTTCACAGAGGCAGATGGTCTTAAATTAACTCTATGTATGAATACATGCTCCCCTTTATATTGTCCAACTGCAATAACACATTCAATACCTTTGGTAAAAATCTTTTGCATATAAGGCGAGTGCCATTGCATAACCCTGATGAAGGTAGCAAGTTCCTTACCAATATCACTAGGCAGTTTACTTTAAGTACAAGTTCATGCGTGCTCATTTCTCCTGGACATAATGTATTTATGAATTCTGCAGGGTAAATACTACATGTGTCATTTAACATAGTATCAAAACTTTTGTAGACGACACTTTGTCCAGCAAACCTTTCAATCATGAATGAGTTGATAGAGTCCACTTCATCATTCAATGGAGTTAAAATAGCCCTTGTTGTGAAGATGTCAGGAACGACACTACCTTTGATAACTTCAGGGTACGTTGCTTCTGTGAGTTCAGATGTCAAATCTGTGTCGTCTTCAATAGAGTGTCTAACCTGAGCTGCCAGGTTGATATACGCACCTTCAGTTGTTTTCAAGCTACCATTACCTAAAGCAAGCAAGAACGCTGAAAATGTTGGATCTTCTCGCTCCCTTATGTTTTCTGTCAGCTTGAACTCAATTAATTTTGTCCATAGATATGAAGTGACGATGCTTGTATCACTGCTTCTTTCACTGATTTCTGAGGAACAACCGGAAGTACTTGTCTAAAATCACCTCCAAATTCAACTAATTTTCCACCAAACATAAGCTTGTTGCTACATATATGTTGCAATAACAAGTCAAGAGATTCAATATTTTGGTTCTTGGCTATGAAGCTTCATCTCATATAATCAATGTTGTTTCCCTTAATAGCGCTACTAAGCTACCTTGTTTAGGCACAACACATGCCAAAGAAGCATCAATATCAAGGGGAATTTTAATTCTCGAGTGTGGTGTACGACCTGATTGAATATTGGCTGCAGCAATCCCTGATGTAGCTGTAGGCAATACAATTTTATTCATGAGACGAATTTCCGCATATAAGGCATTACAGAAAAGTTTTACCTGTACCTCCTGGATCATCAATAAAAAAAACTCCTGGTTTTTCTTCAACTACGTATTGCATAATGCATTGAAAAGTCATGTTCTGTGCAGGATTTAGCCTAGATCGACATGTAAGACACTCCTATGAAACAGGTGCATCAAGAACGTCTACAATATCTATTATTCTTCTGATCTCATCGTTAACATGGCTATTTAAAAATCTAAGCCAAATGTAGATAATGATTTTCCCATAGCTTCAAGGTGCTGCTCAACTTCTCTGACAGTAAGCTGGTGAACTTTCTCCATATTATTCTGATATTTTTGACAGAAATCTTCAGACAAAGAAGGAAAAAATTTAAGCAAGAATGCTGGAGGATCAGTTACTTGGCAGAACAGTAGTACTGTTGCAAACAAGCCCCTCAAAGCTGAAGGGAGCTGTATTTCAGAGGTTTCAGACAAAGTTAGCTCTGCAACATCATCATTTTCTATCAATCCTAGTCTAAGAGCTGCTTCTTGAAACGTAGGACAAACACAACCGTTGACAATTCTAAGGTCTTCAAAGGATGTAGGGCTTCTAACGTTTAACAACAAAAGTCGTAGGAAAAAACGTTCACCTTCTGCAGGGAAAACAAAAGCCAACCGTCCCACTGAAAATCTAGTTGTAGCTCTTTGACTCCACTCTTTGCTACTTGGTTCCCACTTAAAATGTTCACAAAATTCACCATATAGGTAGCCTGTTCCACCTTCTATAGCAGCGTTAGCTGTAAAGAACTCTGTTAACTGAGTCTGAGAACGCTTAGAATCTGACACAACTGAATTTAGCCTTTCATGAGGCCAAAGGTGTACTGTATGCATATTAGGTAAGTGTACTTGCAAAGGAAGCACTGATGGATACATCTCAAACAAGTCAAAGCTGAAAATTCTCCATGTAGCTTCACAGGGAGAAACCAATCTACCTGATTGGTATTTCTCAATCTCATCCACAGAATTTTTGTCAACACCAACAATGTTGTAAGAGATCCTATCATGACCTTTATACACATACTTATACAAGTACTTAACATCCTTAATTGTAGAACAAACCTCGACATTAAGATGACAATCAAACAACATAGAAAGATAGGGATTGTAAGGAATCACCCATTGGTTATCAAGTGCATTTCGTATAACAACGTTTTCCCCTGTATCTCTCCTTCGGTATATAGGATAGCCATCCTTATTATTTGTTGTTTCAGAGGCATACTGCTTTGGATATTTGTTTATGCACACTTTATTCTGTCCTTCTTTACGCATACATGAGCACTGCGAATTTAATACACCACACAGACCATGCATCATAAGTGCAAGGACAATTCTTCGTAGGGAGCTGTTAGGCCTTGTTTAGTTCACCTTATTTTTACTTATTTTAGAAAAAATAAGTTCAGATCAGATCAGAAAAAATAAGTTCAGATCACAACATCGTTTTATGTGCGGTTTTTTATCGCTAAATATTCTTAATTTCGTAATGAAAGAATTGTGAAAATTACATATTAATAAACTACGCATTATTACAAATCTAACATATCCCTTTATTTTTGGCTAATTAGCATTACACGTCATAGTGACAAAGAAGTCAGGCTTACCGGATCTCTGAACAAGAGCCATGGCATTTAAATATCTTTTCTACATATCCCGAGGCCCTCCGATGAAAGTAGGAGGCAAAATGACCCTACGCCCAACATTATATGCAGCAGTTTGCCCAAATCTCGAGAATCAAGAATTCCTTGATACAGATTAGCTCTGATAGTCGATTGATCATTGCGAAAATAATGGAGTCTGATATTTTTGATATTTACATACATATCAACTATGTATTGCTGCAGACACCTACCGGCTCGTAGCAACATATTATTAGGTCGAATCTGCAACTTGTAAGCGTAGTATTCTCTTAGAGAAATGAACTTATATGCTTGAGTATTCTTCCTACCTGCCCCTGTGTATTGTAAGATGAATTTCTTTATTAATACTAAGCTTATTTCTTCATATACATCTATGTAAAACGAAAGGAACAACTTTACGTAACAAAGCACATACGTGATGCTTCTTGATCCAACACGTCCTCAGCCGTATGCACAGAACAAGACAATACAAGATCTGGATATGTTGCAGACTGATTTGCACCACTATGAGATATTTTCTTTAACCCTTGCGTCCAGCCACAATCTCCATAAGGAAACAACAATGGGTACTGTAATGGGTCATAGCACCCGTAATTGTGATAAATTCGATGACATTCATAGGATTTACCAGCGACCAGTATGTGAGGGCTTAAACTCTCACTTGATGAAGCGTTGTCTGGCCAAATCACAGCAACCTCATCAACAGACGGGGCATTGTAAACACGCTGATCGTGTACCGTGTTTTCATGCAAAACAATATACACGTCACTTCACCAATATCTCTTTCTCTTAGCTTAAAGAACGGAAAAATGCATCATATGGATTTTGTTGTGACACGTGCATAAGGATATTAATTATATCTTCTCTTAATTCTGGAAAACATCCAAGCCTATTCTTAGTTTCATGCTGGCCATCATAGAAATACAAGTGCAAGTATTTAGGGGTACTATTATCAGGCAATAAATCAGGAACAAAATAATACAACTTCCCGTGTAGCTTAAACACATAAATGCCTTTGTATGTTTTAGAATCAAAATTGCCACCTATAGTGTGGAACTTAAGAGTTTAATGGTAAGGAAAATGGTTGTTTTTAATGGTTGTTTTTACTTTGGAGGAAAACCCTTTGTCCCACATTGGTGGGATAAAGGAGATTTGCTTTGTTTAAATATGAGTGTTTGTATAATGATGTTTGAAGTGCTTTCCTTGTTGTTGTGGGCTACAAAGGGGCATCCCCACGCGTGCCGCTGCCGCCGCCCGCTTGGCTCGTGATCGTGACACATGATTTTTGCCCTGATTTTGCATAATTGTGAGTTCCAAATCTCTCTTTTTGAGTGCACATTAAGGGAGATCGATATGTAAATTCTTGGGGGGCAACGCCATCTCCGATTGCACCATAGTCGGGGCGAATTTTGCTTCTAAGACAGTGTTCCTAACACGTCACAGCGTTTGTTACATTAAATATTCGGCCCACATTTTTTATTTTATTTTCTGATTTTACAATTTTTCATCATACATATAGAACTAAAAGCAAATAGATTATTATATAGCCTAGCATATTTTCGAAAGTGCACAACATCCTCTTCCTGAGATGTAAACAATCGTACAAGTTCAGGAGGATATTCATTCACAGCAATCTTTTTTAGCACCACAGCAGAAATGCAAAGTCTCAAACACAATTTTTTTAGCACTGCACTTTTTACAATATTGTGGGGATGCTAGTTTAAGAGGTTCTTTTGGTAATTCATTCCCTATAACAGCAGCAAGGATACATGCTAAAGCCATACTAGTCAGACACAAGGGTCCGTAACTAATTCAAACACAAGAAGGCAGAAAACAATGTAAAAAGAAAGAATTACTCTCATCTGACTGCTTCTTTTTAGTTGTTTGTTTAGATTTACCAGGCTTCGTTATCCATGATGTACTGCCAATATATTAAAAATTATTAGTACACTACTGAAGTAAACCACATTAGCTAAAGTAAGAACAATCATCTACTGGTTTACTTATGGCTAATCAAGATGTTTAGTGCACCAAATATGGTCTCACGACTTAGATTAGAATAGGCATACAACTATCCCTTAACTTCAAAATGTAATTGGACAATGGAAGAAGCAAAAGTCACTCTAAACTTAGCATACAACATCAACAGCAGGAACATGCTACATAGTAGAACGAGCACACATACCCGATGAATGTTGATTGAGATGACCCTCTAACAGCTGTATTCAACCTACTCGTCCGATTGTAAGGCACCTGCCCGTGTTGTACACTGGGAATTTCATTCAACTTATTAATGTATCTTTTGATCTAAGCATACATAAGCGTAAAGCTCTACCTTTATACCTATTCAGCTGAAGCTTTGGTAAGCCTTCAATACAACGACGCTTTTTGGTCATTCGTGCCCGGCAAGAAGGGCCGGGTTCACAATTTGAATCAGCTGCTGATAGACTATAATTTTGAACTGATAATAGGTAGGAAATAGGTCGTTAACAACCTCCTCATAATCAAACACATTTATATCACTCAACTACCTAATACAAGTATAAGGTATGTTGAGGGTCGAACCACAAGGATTAAGGGTATTGAAATGAGTCTATTAAGGCGATAAGTTAGGTCGGAAGCAAATCAATGAAGGATCAAATATACTACGACAAAGAGGAGATTGACAAAGAAAAAAAAGACACTAGGGAAGGGGTGTCAAAAGAATAACAAGAAAATAGGAAAAAGAAGAATCGAAAGATGGATAACAAGAAGAAAAGGGGGGCATACTCTCCTCGTGAAACACTTTTTGGTTGGCAATTCCACCATTATCCTCAATAGTCACCAAATTAGGTACATGCAAATCACGGGAGACATGAGGCTTCTCATGCTGAGGGGATTTAAGAAAAGAGGGTAATGAGATGGGCTAGGAAGGAATAAGGTCAAGCTTTCAAGAAAAGGGAATATGAGGTGGAGGAATAGGAACAATGACATCACAAATGGCCTCTCTCACATCACCTTGCTTCAAATTACAAGCTCTCAACCAAGGAACTTTCATCAAAATGGATTTCTTCCAACTCATCTTCATTATCATTAGAAAAATTCTCAAGCTCTTCCTCTATCATGTCTTCACACTAAAAATGAGCTCTTACAAACTTCAATTCATCATCAAGGCTCAAAAGAGGCTCATCACATGGTTCGGGGTCAAATTTAGGTGGGAGCTCTAAATTGACACTTGTATCTATTAATCTATGTCTCCCTCAAATTTAGCCTTTTCATCACTCATGGGAGGAAGGGCATGAGGGTTCTCAAGGATGAAAAGAGATGGAAAAGGTTCAAGATTCATTGTGATGGGAGAATGAGACTCAAGAATTGGATTTTAAATTAGCAAGGGCTCAAAACTTGATAAAATTTTAACCCACAAAAATGGGTATTTATATACAAGGCTAATAAAATATATAAAAGAGAACAAAAATAAAGTAACAAATTACGCAAGAAAAAGAAATGAAAAGGAAAATAAAAAGGGAAATCAAACCAAAACCCCCAAAATCCATCAGACCCCCTATTGTCTATTCCTCTTCGTGAAATCTCTCTTCTCCATCAGCTCCAACATCATCGTAAATCAGAGCCATTAATTTCCTTCGTTTCTTAATCATACCCGCTCAAATTCATCATCAAATCACAGCCGTTCGATCTCTACAATCACCTCAATCACGCGTAAATCACATGAGATTTAAGAAAAATAAACCCACGATGAAGCGGCCGCTCGAGATTTCAGAGTGATCGCTCTGAACATTCTGCCTAAATTGGTGAAATTGAACCAAAATTGGAGCGACCACTTAAAGGGATCGAAGCGCCCTGTCACGGATCATCTCCCTTGATAGCCATGAGTGTCATTTGCGTCACTAGGCAACAGGGCATAATCGTTGCTAGGGGACTTGCCCTTGGTGCCCAGCTGAGCACTTCCCCTATAGAGCTTTATTTAGCCCGAGTGGTGTAATCCTAGTGAACACCCAAGTGGCAATAACATAATAATGGGCCATTTGGGGGCCCAAACGAAGTCCAAATGGACCCAAACTTTAAGGTCCATCGTATTTTGGGCCAAGAAAGACCATGGGGGTGTCGGTTTTCCATGATGAGGTTCCAAAGTACAAGTCTTGGCAGCAGGTAGCCCGAAAAACGTGAGATGCTTCTAGAAGGTTCCAGATCTATCTACGAGGTTCTTTGGAAGACTATTCTAGAAGGGATGACTCTAGAATCATCAAGGAAGGTCTAGTACATATTAGGAGTCTTCTAGGTCTCTCTAAATATGTACATAACTCTTGTAAAGTTCTAGAATGTTCTAGGGTAATCCTTAGCATTCTAGGTAGGAAGTGTGTGGAAACCTCCTTGTATGTATGTTCCTTTGGAGGTGGGAACTCTCTAGATTAGTGCTGTCTAGAACCCTCCATTTGAGGAGGTTATGAATATTCTAGATAGTCCTTGTAAGTAGGATGGAGCACTATAAATAGGCTCTAAGGCTCATTTGTACATTCAAGTTGAGAGTAATACAAAAAACATTCCAAAAGCATTTGTGTTATCTTGCAACTCAATCTCTTTCCTCCAAACACTTAGAGAGTGTGAGGAAAACTCAGGCACGAAAGTGCCAAGTGAGTGATCGGGCATACTAGCAAGGGTGATAACTTGTGTGCTCAATCGTCTACGACATTTAGTCCTAAATTTGGACTAAGGCACTAAGGGTGAGTGCTTAGTTTAACCAAGAGGTCTTGTTAGCACTAAGGGGACGTGCTAGAAAATATATACTAGCAGCACAAAGGGTTGTGCTACGTGGGCACAAAGAATAGTGCCAAGGAAGAAAGCCTGACTTGTCTTACGACGGACTGTCAGCAAGTGGCGCACGGTGCGTGACTAGGGCAAAGTAGTCAGCACGTGAAAGGTGGTATCAGAGCAGGCTACGATCGTTGTGTAGAATCGGCGTCGTAAACTTGGGAAGTTTCTGTGGACGCTACTTGTGCCTGTAGCTAGGCAACAAAGGAGTGTCGGGTCATAAGCATGGCTAACGAAAAAGAGGCTTAGGTCAGCCAAATCGTTGAAGAAGAGGAAGAACCAAGGTGAAAGGAATGGTGTCCTTCCAACAAGTTTATTATTCTGATAGAGGGTTCAAAATTATTACAGAGCTAATTTTTAAATAAGGTCAAGTGATCGGAATGCCTAGGTGGAAGCCGCTTCCGATCAGTAATATTAAGGTATAATTAATATTACAGCTTAATCTTAATTTAACCCTTCGGGTCGAACCCAATCGAACAACCGATCCGAGACGACGAATTAATCCGAAGGATTTAATGAGTCGACAGATTTTACGAATACAGACGTCGGATATCGAGACTAGGGTGTCGAAACCGAGCATCGCAAAATCGCAAGCGACAAGTACGAGCATAGCCGTAGCTAGGCTAGCTCATCAAAAGCTTAGGCGCACCATGGTGTGCTAGGCGAGGCATGAGTGCCTAGGCGCCATCGTAGCCCTAGAAACATGCCTAGGCGCCATTGTAGCCCTAGCACCACGCACAACACCATTGCAGTGCTAGGCACATGCGTGTGTGCGTGTGCATGTGCACCATCGCACAACATCGCCCAGCATCAAGCCCAACATGCATGGCTCGCTAGCAGCACTGAGTCTTCGCATAGTTGTGTGCTTGCGTGCCCTCGCATGGCAGCAGCAAGCACAACAAGCTAGCAAGCAACACTAGCCTCGCTCAGTGCGTGTGCACCATCGCCCAGCACCAAGCCCAGCATGCATGGCTCTCTAGCAGCACGCTTGCTAGGCCTTGCGTGCGTGAGTTCGCTGGCTGGGCTATGCGTATGCTGGCCTGGCTGTGCTGGCTATGCGAGAGGGCTTATGCATGTGTGTGCGACTGGGAGTGCGAGGGGCTATGAGTGCGATTGCTATGCGAGTGTGTGCGTGGAGGGGCTGGGCAGCAGCGCCCAGCGATAGCACGCAACAGCAGCACGAACATCGCCCAGCAAAGCACGCACATGCTGGTTGGGGTGATGCGGGGATGTTGGCTTGCTGGGCTAGCTGGCAGTGCTAGATGTGCTTGCAGGGCTAGCTGTGTTATCTGGCAAGCAAAGCAGGCAGCCAGCTCACTTCATTGCTTGAGACGGTTTTAGGTGAGTGGGGACCAAAGGCTTGGAGCATGCCTTGGGGAGCAAGGCAATGGTCCCCCCCGAAGGTTCATGGTCCACACCTAACTCTCTCTCTCCCATTGACACTTGTTGCATTGTGATTGATTTGATTATTAATTTATTTTGGAATTAAATTAATTATCAAAATTATTCATTCTCCCACATTGGTTGGGAAATGAAGATCAAGGTTTTATTTCCCTATAAACAACCTTGAGTGGAATTAAAAGGCAACTCTTGATTTGAGTAAACCTTGATTCGTAAAACACATAGTTTTATTTGTCCGGGTCTCGACTAACCTTCGAGACTTAGGACGCTCGGGTCGGGTTCGAGGGTACAATCCCATTGGAGACCTCGTATTTTCGAGGTTCAAGTAAGAGCTCATTGTTAAGCGAAGCACGCGTCAAAGGTATAATCTTTTATCCTTTCTTGTGTTTAATTATGTTTTGCTTGTTAATTGCATTTATTATGGGGGCGGGTCTTGGCGGGTTTCTTTCGGCGTAGTGTGGGTCACTACGAAACCCAACAGCGGTATCGGAGCCACGCTCCTTTTAATTTTTGCAATTATTAATTAATTAAGATGTTTTAAAGTAAGATTTAATTTCTGTTTTTGTTTTTCTAATTAGATTAGAAGCTCGTTTTAATTAATTTTAAAACTCGTATTTTTATCGATTTGGTTGCCGAACCCAGATTTTGGCTCGAAAATAGTGATTTTTGGGTGGAACCGACATTCTGAAACAGATTCAACCCTCTTTGAGAAATGTCTTGAAGCCAAATTCGAACCAGAAACCCAAGTTTTTGGGGTTTTTCGTTTTTCAACGAAAATTTTAAATCTATTTAAGCCTTGATTAATGCAAGCATTACAAGGTTAGATTAAATGCATTATTTTATCCCTAATCTACTGCTATTTTAAATATCCTTAAGCATAAATATGGAGTTTTAATTAGTGCTAGAGTTGATATGCCTTTTTTCACATAAACTTGTTTTTTCACCAAATTTGCAAATTAATTGCAAGAATGTGTGAATATTTGATGTGAATGTTTAATTTTAAGTTCCTAATATGTTAAAGTTCTAATCTTTAAAGGTTTAAATGATAGGAACTCTAACCCTAAATTTCTTATTGAACAAAGTTTGGATTTTTCATTTCGGTTGATTAAAATCCATGGAGTTCAAATACTTGTGAGTAAAATTTTGATTAATCTTCATATTGGAAGATGTAATCTTGTTATTTTACACAAGTATGAAAGTTGGAAAATTTTTATCATTACATGGTTAATTTATTTTTCCAACTCCCATTTGTCAAATCCATTATTAATTTGTATATTTGCTAAATTAATTATGGACATAGCTCATTTAATTTTAAGCATAAAGAAAGTCCTAAATTTGTTCAAAAATAAATTTTTGGATGATTTAGGCTTGAGCACCATTAAAATTAAATTTATTTAAGTTAGATTTATTTAATTTTATTTTATTTTTCCTCAAATTGATTCTAAAATGTAATTTAAAATTAATTTTCACACACAAATCGGAATTAAAATTCCGAGTAAAATGCACGCAAATCGATGCAAAAATGCAAGTGTCACCAAGGCTAGCCGGGCTGCCTATGGTGCGCGCATGGCTGAGCATCAATGTTGCGTGGTTGTGTGGCGAGGGGAGCTAAAGTGCTGGGCTTGGGCTGTGGCATTGGCTGCTGGCTGCTTGGAGCGCTGCTGGGCAGCGTGGTAACATGCACCAGCCAGCCCCCACTTGCTGGCAGGCGCTAGCATGCGAGCAGGCAGGCGCAGCATGCTAGCACCAAGCGCCAGCACAACCCTTCATGCTGCTGGTGCTATGTGGCGTAGGCTGCTAGCAAGCTTGTAATGCTGTTGGGCAGCGAGGCAGCAAGCCCCAACCAGCCAGCCCACTACTGCCTAGCAGCCATGGTGCGCAATGCACCATGCTTGGG